ATATTTAACTCATAGCAAACGCAATATAAAATCCATGGTCTGGTTCAAGCTTTAAGCTGATAATACCTTGCTGCAGCCAAGAAACCGAGGGATATCATCATTTCCCATCCATTAATGTTCAGGCTGCAAACAAGGACACATACATATTAGTAGCATGGCATAGCCAATATAAGGATGGGAACAACAAAAGAAAGTGAAACCTTTTAAGCCCATTGGGAAAGGATGCCAGAAGGACTTACCAGATGGCAAGAGCATCAATTGCAACCTGAGCATTTTTCAGATTTCCTGTTAGAAGAACCAAGATTGTGTTGTACCAGAGCTCAAGACTGATAAACCCAAAAAATTCTCAAATCAAAATCTTCCAATGTAAAGGGGAGGTTGGGGGTTACTTATTCCAATTAAAGTATTAGTGTAATACTCAAATCTGAAAATACAATACAGTACTTTCAAACGATCATGGATAGTTAGTTTGCCCTGATTACAAACAGAAATATCAAATTCCATCATCAGCTACTAAACAAAAAGAAGAATAAAATAGTTCATCAGCTCTGCACATAAGATGATTTTTATTCAGTTACAATCCTGCAGCCTTGAAATTTGATAACCGTGCTAATCAAAGACAATCCAACATCATATACTTTTAAGCTAGTCTTCTTCAACTTTGCATTTAATTATCATGTGCAGCTAGATTATATGTTTGGTTTGGCAAAAACATAAACTATCTGAAGCTTAAGCCTAGTTTTTGCAGAGATTGATTTTGTCCAAGAACATGGCCAATTCACTAATGTAAAACATATATAAATCCCTCTCCTAATAAAAATTTGGCCTTTACATCAGGTCTTATTCCACTTTGTCAATGTTTAACTTCATATTAATCCATATAAAGCAAACTTCCCCTGCCAGTTCTTTCAAAGAGTCATAAATTCATTGAAACCTTACCAAAGCATAGCACCAGATGACAAAGATAGCTTTACAACTGGCCCGAGATCCTTGAAAGCTAACATTGAGAAACCCTTCCATGTATCCTTGCACCCTCCACATGTAACAAACAAAATCTGACCTATATTTGGTAGCCAATAGGCCAAAACCGTAGATGACATTGCTCCTGCGAGCCCGAAGTTTAATTTCATAGCCAAAAGCCATGAAAGAAAGATATGGATTCCGATAGAGAATGCTGCCAAGTATGCAATAATCATATTCTTGCTCTGTGCTTGCAGGAACATTTGGCAGGTGAAGGATACGATGAAAGAAAACACAACAAAGATAAACCATTGACTGATATATCCTGCCACTCCCGCTATTTTCTCATCCTGGCCTAATGCGATCAGAAGTGGGGTAGCGAAAATATATAGAGGAAGAAGACAGCATGCAGTCATAAACAAAACTAGCCATGATCTTTGAAGGTATAGCCCAAGCATATGGTATTGTTTTGCTCCAAATGCTTGACCACACAGAGTTTCCAACGCACTGGCCATGCCCAGCTGCACATTCAAAATCAAACATCAATAAATGTGGGGAAAAAAAAAGTTTTTAGAATGTAATATCAGTCACTTGAGCCACTTTCAGATGCAATTTTATGCAATATTGGTGATCTCAAGTACAATGAAAACTCAGACAGAGTAAAATTGGAGATTGACTAATTAGACCCTTTAAAATCAAAAAGGGAATCCTTGACTTTGTGCATGACACGATTCACAAAACTCTAAGAACATATCACAGAGGAAAAATATCCGGAGCATATCTGATATTAATGGTTTCCCAAGAATAATACATTGGCCTTTATGTTTCTCAAAATGAAATTCAAACCCATGGCTAAGATGTTAAGTAGAAATAAACAGATTCTTCACATAAATTTTGAACTTGATCAGCCATGGAACACAATAACTAATCATCTCAGATTGACTTAAAATCTAGACCTCTTGGCCTTAACAGAAACCCAGGCAAAACTGTCCTCTTTCTGAGATGACAAACACTAACCTTTGAAACATCATTTCTGGTATGGTGAATCTTTGATTATGCTAGAACTTAATTAGCCATATGAACGCCTCTTTAAGTAATTTGAGGTAAAGAAAGCAGCTCATGATAAACTAATAGCACTCAAAATTCTCACCAGGGCACTTAAATGGGCTAGTTTTTAATTTTTAGACCAAAGAAGTAAACAATACTTCCTCTGAAGCACGCCATAAGAAGATACGTCTCAACAACCATGAGCACAAAATTATAAAATCTCAATCTATCTCACAACCAGAACCCAAAAAAACAGATTAGAAATAATGGTGATGTTGATCAAGAACACCATAATCCCATTTCAGAAAAGCAAAAGAACCCCAAACAAGAAACCAATCTCCGTCCAGGAACTATATTACTACAAGGAAGGTAAAAAGGTTAGCAAAACCGTCTGCTAACTAAATTCCTACAAGAAAAAGTCAAAAAAAGCCATCACTCCTGGCAACTAAACCCCGAAGCTCAAGACAAAAAGAAAAGAATAAAAAGCAACAGAAAAGAGGGAAGAATTGAAACTAAAGTATGTACATACCAGAACACCATTGCCGAACCTCAAAAGGACAGTGAAACAAAGGGAATAAGCAGCGAGCTCAGTAGCACCAATGTGACCAACAAAGGCTTGACTGATTACAGTAACACCAAAGGTAGAAAACCTGGTGAAAATTGCTGGGCCAGCCACAACCCACATCTTCTTTGTCTCTGTCCATAATTTTTCTCTAAATTTCACTTCCTCGACCACAGTATTCTCTGTTCCTGCCAGCAGCTTCTGGTTGATATCTCCTTCCATCCTTCTACAACCAGACCGTTTCCAAGGTCTTTTCCTTTAGAGCCGCTTTTAAATTATTGTAGACCAACAGGGTCCGCATTAATTGCATGGGGCGTGATCATACTAAAGAGAGAAAAATTTAATCACGGCACAATATTTAGCGACAAGTTTTCTTTCTTTTTCTATTCTTTGTCCTGCCTTCCTTATTCAATAATGCACTAATACTTACGTAATGTTAAATCAATTTCCAAACGAGAATTAGGATCAAAGGTTTCCCTTTTTTATTCTTTGTTAATTTTGATTAACTACTATACAAATTATTCATCAAATTATGACGGTCCATTTTTAAGTGTAGCTAATATTACAGCGAACACCCAATATGAATGAAAGATTTATTCACCCAACGGTTACAGATTAAAGACAAAAGTTTAACATAATTCAACACGTGTTATATATGTAGTAAAATATTACAAACGAATACTCACGTGCCTCCTCGAGTCTTTGTCCGATTAAGATGCTTTTTCATCTGGGAAACTTAACCACTTCACTATATCTTCAATTAATTAAATTCTAATCCAAATTTATTCTAATTCGAGTAAAAATTTATGATTTATCAAAAAAAAAAATAAGTGATGAATGAAGATAATCACAACTGAAGTAAAAATACTTGACTATTTTTATGCATGGTTATTCAGGTAAGACAGAATGAAGCATTAACCTATGATATAAAGCCCTATAGGACTTTTCAATCCGAAAACGACAATCAGATTTTCTGCCCATGTCTTGTCCTATTTGACAGCATTAATCTATTTATAGTCCCAGTACGATTCAAATTAAAAAATTCATATTTTGTACCTTAACTGTTTTTAATTTACTCATTTCTATTTTAAATTCGATAAAGGTTTATTTATTTTTTGAACATCGGGATTCACTGTATAAGAATATGCAATCCTTGCTTAAAACGACAACTTAGATATCATATACCAATTTCGCTAATCTTAATTAATATTACCAGTAAGATTACTTAAAAAATGGCTTATATTTCATGTGGTATTGGAAACCTGAATATCCCGCTAATCTCGACTCCAATCTTAAGTCTTAGAATCAAAGAAAGAAAAAAAACTATAAGAAATAATCTTATTTGGTAAGGGTATTTCAAAAATAACTATGAAAATAAATTTAATATTTTTAGATATATTTAATCATAATTTAATAAAAATATTTTTAAAATTATTTCAAATAAATTAAATTATTTATCACAAGTTCTTCATATTTATGCTTTCGATTTCTCTCTCTCATCATTCCACTCTCTCTAATTTTATTTATTTCTCTCTTTGACATTTGTCTGCTATACTTTCTATTTATTTCTACCGTATTTTTAAATTTCTCTTTCTTATACTTTCAAGACACCAAACGATTATTTTGATATGCTTGGATGGGTGGTTATTTAAAAATTTAAATTTTTAAGTATTTTAGATAAAACTAAAATGGTAGAAATGATTATAGATATTTAAAATTACTTTTAATTGGGTTAATTTAAGACCTAGATATCAATAAACTCAAGAATTTGAAATTTATAAATCGAGATTTTTAGAAGAAATTTTTTTCAATTTTTAGTCCATATAGGTGTTTTAGATAAAAAAAATTTATGTTTTGATTTATAAAAACATGTTAGAAACACTTTAATCGATGTCAAATTGTTCTAAAAAAATAAAAAGAAATGACAAAGTAAGAGAAAATTTGAAGTTTTAATTCGTAAGTAACAACATTTTAAGTATTAAAGTGTAACAAAATATTTTTGAATATGGCGTGTAACAATAATATTTTTTCAAAACAATAATTTTTTTTTTCAACATGGCGTGTTACAATATTTTTTAACTATAGTGTGTAACATGTTTTTGTGTACATAATGTGTAACAATAATATTTCTTTAACATAGTGTGTAATAACTTAACCAAGGCGTGTAATATGTTTTTGTACATAACGTGTAATAACCTAATCAAGACGTGTAACATCTTAACTAAGGTGTGTAACATATTTTTGTACATGGTATATAACAACCTAACCATGACGTGTAACATATTTTTATACATAACGTGTAATAACTTAATCATGATGTATAACATGTTTTTATACATGACATATAATTTTATTAAAGTTATTTTTATCCAACTTAACTAAAAATAGTTAAAACTATAAAAATGACTATTTTTTAAAATATTTTATTTTTAAGAGTTATTTTTAAAAATACCTAAAAAGCAAACAAATTTTTTATAAATATTTTTCATGGAAAAAGGATTTGAAAAAGACAGTTTGTTTTGGTATCTTTCCATGTTCCTTCTGTGCTGATTACTTGTTCATTTTCTACAATGCAAAATTATGATAATGGCGAAGGAAAGGAGTTTCTTCATCAAGTAAATTTTTTTCTTTTCTGTTTCAAAGCCAAATTTGAAAATAATGGTAGAGTATTAAATTTGTGCACTTATATGTCAGATGACCCTTGTATAGGAAGAACAGTTGTAATTGTCCTAGGCATGTCTTTTGTCAATCCAAAACAAAGTCTTATGACTTTTGATCACTGAAAGGATATTTAATTTGACAACTTTGGAAAAGCTCAAGAGGAAAGAAGTAATTGCTTTGATCATCGTGATTGTGACATTAAATTTATCGACAAAAATAAATTATGACATTAGGCCAAAAGCTGATCGAAAGGCAAACCCAAAAAAAAAGGAGCATCAAAGGGGGAAAGGAAAAAGATATCTTAGGGTAACCAAATAAACACCCAAGAAAACCATTAGAAAGGCTTCTTTTTCTTTATCCTTTCTTGTTGGTAATGTTGATGCCTCTATTATTATTAGGTTGAAAGAAGACAAAACAGGGCTTACATAAAGCAGAAGATGCATAGATCAATGGGACTTTACCTCAAGGCAAGTGACTGTCGATGAGCAGAAAAAAGGCAAACTCTGACCTTTGTCCTACAACAACGACGACAGCGAGAGTGACACACTCCATCCCAGATAAATATGCCTTGTGACAGATAAATCCAAAGGCCAGGAATGCTTTCCACTTCCAATGAGTCTCTTCGCACAGCAGGCAGAAGAGGGCCTGTGCACTAGCAGCGAGGTCTCCAAGAAATTTATGTTCCTGACACAGACCACCTGTCTTAGAGCAACTGGGCAATTGCCAGACCAAATTATGTTTGATTTTATCTCTTATGCAATTTGTTTTCATATCGATAATATCGATATTTTCATACAATTTTTTTAAATTATAAAGTTTCTTTTCAAAAGCTTCTGGATTGCATTTATATTTTATCTTTTTTTAATTTAATTTCAATAAAACCTGTGATTGAGAGACATCCAAAAAATTAGAAATAGAGATATCATTTTAAAAATTTTCATATTAAATATAGAGATAGATAGAATAAGATTTATGAGGTATAAGAGAATCATCTCTAATTATATAATGTAGAATTAATCAATCACATGTATGAAAAATAAATAAATTCAACTCAAAGCTATTTTATTAATAAGAAAACAATTACATTTTTCTAATAAATAAAATTCAAGAGATATTTTTTTTTAACCTCTAGTCTATAGAGTATACGTATAAAAAAGAAAAAAAAAATATTTTATTATGCTGTAAGCCTTATGGAGAATTTTATTGCATGAAAATAATAACACACTCATAAAAATAAAGCAGAAAAGCATCAATGCTTGAAATTACTTGTCATGAATGCTGATCATGGCAAGTTTGGCCCAGATATGATTTAGTTTTTATCTTAGGAAAGCTGGTCCATTCACTTCTCTGCTTAACTTTCTTCTCACCTGCTGTTTGGCAAGAAAGAAAATTTAAATAAAGGTGATAATCACTAACCCCTCTCTTTTTTTGCTTTTCCTGAGTGAGACCAAATATGCTAAAGTAGACAAGGCCACGGGAAAATAGCCATACTTGTCACGGGAAAATCCGAAGTTTTCAGTAAATTAATTTGTTGTATGTCGATTTCGTAATTAATTAGAGCTGGACCTAATCCCCTCATAATTTTCAATGAATGTGTAGTGTACTTTCAATTCCTTACAGCTCATTTTAATTAATTTTCCATCTGGCCAAAACAAAAACCACAAAAAGGAAAAAGAAAAACAGCTGCTGCCGCTAATTATTTAATGTACGCTTATGCAAGGATGGCGTTAGGGTAAAGTCATCCAAGCAAGAATTTTAAGTTTTAAATTTTTATAGGTTTTATAATTTTATAATAATATAAATAATTATATTAAAAATATATAAAATTAAGATAATTAATGAAATATTTACCTATTCTCTCATATCTAATAAATATTTATTTTCTATCACTTTTATATTTTTATTTATTTTTAATTATTTATTTATTTTTTATTAAAAAAATAAAAATAAAAATAATTAATAAAATAACATATTTTTTTTACTTTTTAAATTTTTTATCTTTTCTCCATTCCCACAATACTATTAATTCTCAATTATTTTTTTTATTTTCAATCAACTAAAAATAATATATTTTTAATGATCCCCAATCGTTATTTTTTTTACATATATAAAATTAATTATTTTTTTTCAATTTATAACATCCCATTATGAATTTTTTTTTCATCTTCTACTCTTTCTTCCTTAACTTTAATAAAAGACCCCATTTTTTAAAATTTCGATAAATAAAATCTCATTTAAATGGTTAATTTTAAACCTTTGAAATTATTATCCATCCTACTCCTGCATTAATTATTTTTTTCACTGTTACAGCATAAAACAGCTGATTTGCAAAAAAACATGTCTTCCTCTTCTAAGATTATAAAAAAAAAAAAAACATGTGATGATTATTGACTACAGACAAATCATGCACGTGAAAATTTATTTATCTTTTGGGTTTAACAGATTTATTATGGAAATGCATATTGGGAAGAACTCTAGTCGGCAACTACCCCTGTCTTTACACAAGAACTACAATGTACAAAAAAATAAAACAAAACTCTATTATTGTGATGTGGAAGAGCTAGCAATCCCAAAAGGGGTGGCTTTGATTGGAAAACACAGAGTTGGCCCTGTCTTTAATTATGACACCCTGTCCCACATTGGTGTAATTAATGCATAAGGCCAAGGCAGATCATGAGAGACTGAATTTTGGCTTCCACAGCTTGTATTTTGGTTTTTCACATATTTTACCCAAAATCAAATTGTATTATAACCACAAAATATTATTTATTTCATCCTCTTCCTCTTGTGTGACAATTATTTATTAATTTAATTGTAGAATATTTTATTTATAAATGAGTAGACTCTAACTTAAACTTTATTCAATAACTATATATAATATTAAAAAAATACAAATATTTGAGATAAAAATGAGAAGGCAAGCAACTCCCTGTATCATAAATTTTTCATTATTTTAGTATCATTTTTTGTTACCCATGATAAGGGAACAGTTACATTATAAGATTCTTCTTCACGAGAATTGTAGAATTTGCTGATGTAACAGCTTTGAATAATTTGTCATATCATGATATTGTCCAAATAATCTGTACATGTTCTAATTCAAGTAAATAAACACAGATATAAGATAAGTATTGATGTATTTATCTGCCTACCAAATATAGTTCAATGATTAAAGTAATATTAAAATTAATTTTCTTTTCTATAATATAATATCAGTATAGACTAACAATTAAGGTTCGTTTTGTTAATACTTTTGTTACTTATTTGTACTTCTTTCTTCTTATTCATTTAAAAAACAAAAAAAAATATGAATTAAATGAAATTTATTTTACATTTATTGGCTTAAAAATAGCTGACATTGACATTATGTTATCTCTCTATCGAGTTAGAACAAATGCATGAGGTTAGGTATTAATTTCAATATATAGGCAAATAACTTAAACGATTAGGTTTTGAGCTAGCTTTTGAATTTAGGTTCAAAATGAATCTTAGATCGTGTATTGTAGACAAGTGCTTATGGAATTTTCATACATAATATGGCAAAATAGTGAAATAAAAACGTAAAAGTGAGAACTTAAAATGATAACCTAATAAATGTAAATAAATTGAAACATAAAGAATTAAGGTGGTGTTAGATAACTTACATTATAATGTGATCACTTGAAATAAAATTATCGAAAAAATAATATTACAGTATTTGATTTATAAATATTTATTAAAAATATGATGTTAATTTTTAAAATATATCTTTATATTTATATTTTATTAAATTAAAGCAATTAAATAACAATAAACCAAGTAGAAAAGTAGATGGCAAGCTCCCATCCTAAATCAAAAACCTTAAGAATTCTATATTATACCAGAAAAACGAAAAAGTTTAATGATTGATAGATTTGGCAGGGTCCCATGCAATTTGAAAATGCTGGGGTTCCTTAAAGTAGAGAAAGTTGTTTGTATTTTTGTGGGGATGAGGAATGGAAAGAGCTTGTAACGGTAAAGAATCAATGATCGTGGAGGTCTCAAATCCATCAACTTTTTTTTTATTCATGTCGCCCGTAAAATTCCAAGTCCACCATTTCCACACCATTAATAATAGTCCATGTCTTCATATCATTAAAGAGATGAAGACCATTTTGTTCCAACGGCCACGACTGCAAACAAAATTATGTGAACACTATTTACAGACAATTTGATACATGGAATTTATTTCACCTCTTCTGTCCACACCCACCAACCATGACCTTTGGTTCACACACAATCATGCACTTTACCCTGCAAATGTAATGGCTGCCGGATGTGTTATTTTTAACTGATTAACATAATAAGTTATATAAACAAAATTATAACTTAAAAGGTTGTTTTGATTATGTTAAGTTATGTATTAGCATTTTTTTTCATTTTTATTATGATATATAATGATGCAATTATGTCAAAATTTTTGTCTCCCGATATCTATCAACCATTAGGTAACTATACACTGGAATTTAAGCTAACCTAATTGATGGTGATCATGCTCCCAAAAGAAAAAGGACAAAGGATATTGATGATGCCGATGTAGAATAGAATACTATCTTCTTCTTTTTTTCTCCCAAAAAAGTAAGAGTTCTTTATGCCTAGCAGACAGGAAGGGGAGTGTTGTTGAAGAATGGAGGCTGAAGAGTATATTTTATTAGGATTTGTATTTGGGTTTATTCCCCTTTGGACCTTACTTTGAGTTCATTGTTTAAGCAATGAAAGAAAAAGGCTCATTCCAAACCATTAAATTTTTAAGGAATAAAAAAGAGATAATTGAATTTCTTTATTGTTACTGCAAGACTATGCAATGAGCACAGCTAAATTGTCTGACAGTTTCAGTATGTATGACATTTGGGTACACAAAATTCTATACAATTAGCTCAAAAAATTTGGGGTTTCTATGCTCTTAATTTTAAATTCATTTCTGCAATTTAAATTTGGGCCAATTTGTTAAGTCCTTTTCATATAAACGTTTTCTTTAGGCCTATCTACAGTTGACAGCAATTGCTTTATGTTAAGCTGCAAGCTTGGGGCCAGGACCTTATTTCTCCCCTCAAAGTGACAAGTACAACCAAAGAGCTTGCAAGGTCTATTGCGTATAGTCTCTCTCACACCCCATTAATGGAGCCTTGCACAAGCAAAATCCTATACAGTTGACAATGATTGACATGTTATACAGATCACATTTCACTCAATTAACTCATCCAGTGGATATTGGCTCATTAGCCATTAATCAATTTAATGTTTATGTAACTCCATTAGCAAGTGTACAAGCAGGGATATGAAAAGATACAGGAATTGTTCCCAACGCATTCTCTTTCCTCATCTCAATGTGAATTCTTTCAAAAAGAAACAAAATTAACAACGATATATCACCCACAACGATCACCATCACCAAAATTTTGAGTCCTACCAGTGGGGGCAGTGTTAACACTATGTGTTGCTTATACAAAACTGAACCCGGGTTTGCTCTCCAGTCTTCAACAAGACTCTGCTCCTGGGTTGGTCTCGCTAGTTTCACTGCTTTTGGCAGTTTCATTGCTCCAGACAGTTTCACTCATCTCTGTGGTTTCACCTACATCTGCCCCCCCTGATGACTCTCCTTGTTCAGGCTTTGCAGGTCCTGGACCAGCAGATACTTTCACCATTGATGGTCGCAACAGCCTGTCTCCTAGCTTGAAACCTTTGCGAAATTCTTGAAGAATGATACCTTCTTCAAATTCTGTGGAATCCTCACGCATGATTGCTTCATGCAGCTTTAACAAGAGGGAAAAAAGCAATTTGTTAGAAAATATCCATCAGCAATACACAGATAAAAAGAAGCTCCCATTCTCTCCATCGTCTACCTACCTCTTTCAAGCTTAAGGAGTTACAATTAACTTTTCATGCCACAAATAATATCTAAGATACATATCGACATTATCATATCATAACTCGTAAACTCACCAAGTCAGCTCAAATCAATCAAGACTTGGTTTGAATTAAAAGCGTATCCAGGTCTTTATAAAACCTGAACAAACTTGATTAAATTTTCGAGAAAACTCATCAAGTACTTGACTGAATATCGAGCCAACTCGGTACTTCACCTGCATTAAGCCAATTATCATTATGCCAATGAACAAACCAAAAGAATATCTTTCATATAATATTCAAATGGTAATATCCCTTATGGATTTAACTCGAACATCTTCAATAAACTTCTACCGTCTTCCATAACTATCTCATATTCAGCTTATTTCTTTCATCGGTAATCAAATACAATCATGAATCTGGGGCCTTGAAAGGCAATTATTTCATGAACTGCCTCCTCACTCAATAATGGAGAGGACATGGACTTCATAATAAAAATATTAGAATGAGGCCATGAACATTCACAATTACCAAAAAGCACTTGACTTAGAAGTATCCAATGCAACAATCATGGAATATCCCAACATTGAAGCTTATTTTTAATAATAGTAAACTTTATCATGTCTCTAAGAGGTTGGGAGAGCAGAGAGTAATAAGTACTAACTCACCATTGGATCAAAGGGATTTCCCACTGTTTCCACAGGTTCTACACCAAGCGAGCCCAAAATCTCCATAAACTGCTTGTATATGCTCTGATAGCTGCTACTGATCTTCTCTTCTCCCTCGGTTTCAACCTTGATTTGGGCTTTAGCTCGCTCAAAATTATCCAAAACAGGCAACAAATTTTCCAAAACTTCTCCTTGGGCATTTGTTACCAACGAAAGGCGCTCTCTCTCTGTTCTCTTACGGAAGTTGTCAAAGTCTGCACTAATCCTAATAATTCGATCCTTCTCTATTGACAATTCTTCTAACAAAGAAGCCATATTCTTTTCAAGATCAACTTTCTCGTCTTCAATGGATTTTAAAAATGCTTCTATGTCGGCAACTTTTGACTCATCATTACTTGCCAAAGCTTCTTTGTATGATTGGAGCAATAATACTAGGGCTGAAGAAGGTATTTCTTCAACGTCACTACTCTCATCGGCCCCATCATCCTCTTCAATAGCAATAGCACCATCTGAAGAGTCCTGTTACATATATCCACCAGGATGAAAAAAACGGACACAAATAGTCTCTGACAATTTAATCAAAAAGAACTAGGAAAAGAAAAATATTGCAATAAAATAGAACAATATGGAAATCTCTCAACATTGTAGTCTTCACCTTATGCCAGGCAAACCATGGTTAAATCAGATTAAAACCTGATACATCAACCCTAAAGAATCATATTATGCAATAATTGTCAGGAAAAATCAAAGTGAAACAATCAATCTGATATTCGCTAATTTCTTCTAAGAAATAAGGCGCATTAGTGAAAATATTGGGATATCAACTTATTGGCAAGGCATATACACCGTATTTTTTAACCCTTCAAAGTATCATTTAATCAGCAATTAGAAAAGAATAATAATGAAAATGTTAATGACTCCATTTTTTAGGAAAAAAAAAAAACCATATAAGAATGATGAGTAGAAAAGACTGAAAACCACTTGATTCAAGGATTAACATAGTAATATGAAATATTAAAGCTAAAAAAAGTATTGGCATAAATACATCTAGCAAGGATTAACAGCAAAAACTCCTCTTCTATGACAAGTTACACTAGTCCTTTATTTGAGTAACACTCCCTTTCGGTCATTTGAGGATTCTAGAGAAAATTGTAATCAAACATCTTATCTGGCATATTACACATTTACTGCAGCCAAAAACATACCAATTGATATGCCTAATAAGAAATGACCAATCAATAAGATCTTAAAAATAGTTTATTGGTGCCTTTCAAAAAAAAAATAGTTTATTGGTTTAATATACTCTTTGGCCATATAAAATGTTAAATCAAAATGGAATTGATGCAAACTGTGTTCTGCAGAATTGCTAACTTCTTAAATGATGACAAATATATCCACTGATTGATAAAGGAGAAGATAAATCATTAGCATCAACTATAAAATTTTAACAGTTTATCCTATCACATTACATATCACCTCCAAAAACCCCTACATTACATAAAGACAATGTTGGCTCTCATTTAGCAAAAAGTATTCGAAATGAGTTACCCTAATTATTTTCTGTTTGTGCGGATGGAAACTGATCTTGAAGACTGAAACTTTTTTAGACATATGATAAAGTATCTAGACTCCCTACCACAAATAAGCCAGTAAATATAGAGTCTAGAAAAAGGGAAAAAAACAAAGGACTCCAAATAAATTAATCCTTTGTAACATAGCAACCTTTATTTGCCATAATAGAGAGATTGTTGCAGCATAGTGATACTCATACATGAGGGACAGTACTAACATTTTTAAATTGAAGTACTAAAAACCATAAGTCTTCTTTGTAGATATAGATAGGTAATTTTGAAACAGATAATTAATATATCAATATACCAGCTGTGAAATTTTGGCACAAATCATTGGAGCCAGGTTACCCTCATCTCTAGAAAGGAGCCAACCACCAGGTTTCACTCTAAATTTCTATCTAACCATGTTTCAATCTCAAGATAGATGACATTGAACCAAGTACGAAGTTGGCCACTCTCAGATCAGGTTACAGTGTGCTCATCAACTTCATCATAATTTTCACACAGATCGATGCCCTCAAAAGGCAAGTTCTGATAAATGGAAACTGCTAAAGTGAGCGACAGTTATTGTTCAACGCCGTGTCAAAACTCAAAATAGACACAAAAAATGATTCCTTCCAACATTTGAGTTATTTACAAGCTATTTCATTATATCTACTTCAACATGTAATCGGACAATAAATGTAGGACAACTTAACATGGGTCAATGTAGAAAAAGAAGAGTTATAGTCATTCAGCAAACCACATCCAATCACAAGACTACAAAGAAGAGAAGATTTCGACTAGAAAAATTCTTAATGAAGCTAAATTTCACACATTATCAAGACACCGTCTTTTGCTCATTTCTAACATACTTGACCCTTAAAATCCAAATCCCATAAATGTTTTTGTCATATTTACAAGCAAAACTAAAGATAAACATAAAAACAAGGCAAAAGAAAACCCAGAAAAATAAAACCAAAACCATGGGAACCAATGTTGAGAGAGTTAAATTTACCTCAATTTGAGGTTCTTGAATTTCTTGTTGGGTCTCAGTAGTTTCAGTTTCACCTCCATTTGAAGAAAAAGGAACCAACTTTACGAACCTGAGAGAGGGAGTGGAGCTGAACCGGAAGGGACAGATTGTACGAGCAATTCTGTGTTTGAAGCAGACACGGAAGGGCTTTGGGGAGATTAAGGAAATGGGTGTTACACGTGGAGGCAGAGAAGGAGGGGATTTAAACGGAAGCGTTTTAAGGAGAGTGGCCATGGGGGTTGCAAGAATCTAGAGAAGGCGGAGAGTGAGAGAGAGAGAGAGAGAGAGAGGTGGAGGAAGAGAGAAAGGGTGGGTAAAGATAAAGAGGAAGAGGGTTGGGGTTTGATTTGGACCGTTGATGATTGTTCTGTAAGCAGATCGGACGGCTGTTTGGTGACTGATTCTCATTAGGAGGTTGTCTTGTCATAATGAACATTTTTGAGGGGAAGAGCAAACTTTTTATTGCCCGATCATTCTGGAAAAAGAAACTCCTATTAGATCATTCAATAATAAACTCCTAACCTTTAATTAGAAATAATTAAGTTTTCAGTAGCAGAGAATTCCTCGTTAACCCTAAAATTTATTTCTATATATATTTTTTTGAAACACATAATGAATCTAAATATCTCAATATCTTTAAATTTAGCTTTGAATAACTTGACTTAAATTTGAATTTACACATGGATTATCTGTTTGAGAAGAAAGTGTTTGAGCAACTAGGTTACTGTCAACTTATAAGTATATTTTTTGAAAGCTAAGATCCGATGCGTATTTAAGCCCTCTATATACTCTCCAAAGTTCAACTTTGTAAACTGAACATTTATGAAGAGTTTGTTTGATAACTGCAAAATGACTTGCGAAGGAAAAAAATTTTTTATGTAAAATATTTTATAAAAAAATTTAATATTTTTTATTATTTAGATAAACAGTTAAAATTATTTTTTGTTGTTTGGATCATTTTATGTAAAATATTTTTGGAGTTATTTAGGTGTTAAAATAATAAATAAGAGTTGAGTACAAAATAATATTGATATTTGATTTTCACTAATTTGAGTTCAAAATTAAGAATAGAAATAAAAATGGATAAAATCAATAATTGTATTTCCCAAAGCATTTAATCACAAATCTCTAATATTCATCTTATCACTTTTTTTATCATAACTATAAAAATATAAATATTTATCGGTTATATAAAATATCCAAAACCTATACGTATAAATATGTATTTATTAAATAATAATTATTAAAATATTTTTTATTATAATTATGAGTAAGATTTATACCTATTATAAAAGTGTATTCATCAAATGATGATCTTTGAAATATTTTTTATTATAATTTTTAGTAAGATTTATTCTATTTATAAATAAAAAATTTAATTGTATTGAAAAATTTCATTAAAATAATATTTTTAATTTTAATAGTATTGTATAATTTAAATATTAATATTTTAAATTAATTATTTTAAAGTTAAATATTAATATATAATTTTTAGTATTTTAAGTTAAATATCAATATTCATCAAATTTATACTCATAAACTTAATATAAAACTGTTTTTGTTATTATTTGAAAAATATCTTATGCCTTTCAATGGTGTAAGATATTTTTCGTGATTAACTTTGTTGACTCGTAAAATGTTTTACATTTAAAATTAATTTTTTATTTATCAAATAAGTATAAGTCTTGAAAATATTTTTTAAAAAATATTTTACTGCAAAACAAATGAATTCGAAGTATATTCACCATTTCCATTGACCAGCTAAATCTCTTAAAACACCATTAGCTGCCGCTTGTCCTATCGACTTCTTTTAGGCGTTATTTGAATTTAATGAAATCCAATCAGAGAAAGAAGCTTTCCAACTGGCTAGAATTTCTTCTCAGGATCTAGATGAGTGTCCTCCAGTCACACTGTTTGCCACCTCAACATTTTGCAAGGTCGAGACCATACTATATATTATTGAAAATCATCGTTTAATAGAAATTTTTATGTTCTCGAAAATATATATGTTCATCAATTTTCAAAAGAACCAATAGATAATCTGAAATATAATATTCTATCAAATACCATTATCATTCACATTCGCCTTGACCAAATTAGTCAAAAACTAATCGACAGTAAAAAGATTAAAGAACATGGAATACGTACTTGGTGATAATAATCATAGCCATGTCGCACTAGCTTTAAGGCAATCCCTAAGTACATGAACAATGGTCTCCTCTTCAACACCACATTGCAAACATAAAGAAGTAATAGTATGATGTCTATAGCACTTTTCTTCATTTGTCACAAGTTGATTATCTAAGCATTGAAGAATAAACATATGAATTCTCCTCGGCCCCTCCCACTTCCATACTAATTGTCACCTTCCTGAGTTATAGTTTGAATCTAAATCAATAGGATCTCTTAAAAAATGATATGTTGAAGCCATTGTAAAGTATCTCGAAGACAATAGAGCCCAATATGGTTTGTCAAGGTGATTAACATGATAAGGTGCAATGGTCTCGGAGAGCAATGTAATTTCCTCAAGTGGAAGGTCAGTTGACAAGTTATTGAAATCCCATTCACCATCCCCCAATACAAAATCTTTAACACAGCTATGGGCTTCGAATGAGATTTCCATTGACCTCGCAACTTCGACAACAGGTTGCTCGCCCATGTAGGTATCCATCCAAAATCATGTTGTGAGTCTATCTCTTAATGCACATTGAATATTCTTCTTAAATATCTCCCATAATTGGTTAGTGAAGATCTAAAACAAAGAGGAATCCACACTTTGCAGCTTATTGGGGCATGCAAATCTTCCATAATTGTATTTACTATGAACAAGCCACATCCATAAAGCTTGCGATTTAGAGACAATCTACCTACATGCTATAAGGAATTTTTTTTAATTATGAAAAAATATCTTTTATATAGTGCAATGATGAAGCTTTTAAATTTTATAAATATAAATCTAGTTAAAAGGTTAATATATGTTTATAAGTACATTTACATAAATATTATAATAAATTAAATAATTATTAAATTAATATATTATAATCATTTTATGTCATTTATTTAATTTTAAATAATTCACTATCAAAATATAAAATAATAGTAATACTTAATTTTATCCTTATGTCTTTTTCTTTTGATTTTGATTCTATGCCCTATATTTAATCTCTACTTCATAGTCTCAAATATATACGATGCAAAAAATAATTCATTAAATAAGGATTTTATTTCAATAGAACAACTTCATGTAAGTTGTAACATAAAAAAAAAAGTGAGATATCAGTTCGAAATTGAAAAAAAAAAAGTTTCTTATTTTGCTAGAGGGGTACTCAATCATAAAAACTAATAATACACAAAGTTTCTTATTTTTCACAAAAGCAAACAATTTCTATTGTTTAGTGCTCTCAAACTATTCACCAAACTCAAACAAAGTTATAATAAAATAAAAAAGAATAAAATGATGAAATAATTAGAAAATAACCACAAAAAACACTCTCATAACTCAATAGTTTTTCTCTCAATCCAAACACACTTATAAAGTTAAAATCTATAAACTACAAAATCACCTTTGTTGAGTTTTCCTCCCCTTACCACAAAAGACCAAAAAAAATAATATTGTGTCGATTCTGATAGTAAGTTCATGGTTTAAATAATGCATTCTTACTAAAATGCTTGTAAACCATACTTCGAAACGTTATTTTTGTTAAAATTTATACTCAAAGAGATAAATTAGAACATATAAAAAAAACAGATACTTAACAATTAATAACAAAAAGAAATGAAAAAGAATTTGTTTGAAATACGGAATGTGTAGAATAAATTTTTCAAAAAAAGAAAATGTGTATTTATAGATAGTGAAACATCACCAACGTGTCTCTTTATTCAGATACACCTATTCATAATTGAACAAATTTGTCATTTTAAAGATACATGACTTTTTAGAATCGAAGAGCATACTTCTTCTAATAAACACATTAAATTTTCAATCATCAAAAATAAAATAAAAATTAAACAGCCAACAATTTTCTCATCAATTTAATACTAAACAATTACATTCCATTGAAATTATAAAGTGATAAGGCGTTAAACATCCCAAACTTATTCCAATAATTACTTATTGATTGCAATTATCTAAAAGAATTTACTAATTTCAAATATTTGAACTATCTTTAGAGATTTTTTTTGTTATACAAGACATTGAATTAAACAATAAAAGGTAACATTTTCAAATTCTTAAAGGTTGGCATGTAGGGGCAGACTAAAGGTGGTCACGGGTGGCGGCCACCACCCCAAAGATTTATATTATAATTTTATTTTATTTAAAAAGTAATTAATTTTTATTTTAAATTAAATAATTGATTTGATCCATGACATTAACTTTTAGTTACCTTTTATACAAAATCTTGAATTTATTACTTACATCGCCGCCGCCGATGACTTGAAACTATTTCTTCAATCTATGAAAGTCTAAAAGTTAATACTAGTTGGCTAAAATACTCAGTAGTTTGGTCCAACAATCTATGAAAGTATTGCTTCATTGTCAATAGTTCCACTTTTCTATTTGACAAACTCTCTTTACTCTAAAAGAGTTTTTTTCACACAAGTTCTTGCTTGTGAAGTCTAAATGCACATTTCTTATTATGTAATGGTGCCATGGGAATACAAATAAATAAATATGAGCATGTGTATTTGCTTCTAATAGAGGACACCAATATTTAAATTGTCAATAATGTTCATGTGTCACGGGGCGATACTTAAGACCACCTTCCGTGCGGCCTTGGGCTCAACCCTTATCTCGGCATTTAGAACCCAAGTCAGCCTTAGTGCTTCAGCACTCGCCCAACAAGCACTCAACACCCACACAATGGCTTTAAACCGGCAAGCAAGCTTGCATAAACGAGGAAGGAAAAATGGGAAGAGAATGCTAGAGAGAAAAACTAAGCTTGTATTGAATGAATTGAGATACAAGTGTGTTGGATGATTTGCACAAGGAAGATGGGGTTATTTATAGCCAAGGTTCCTCACCCATTTCCCTCCAAAAAATTTCCCTTCAAAACCATTTGAGAGGGAAACTAAGGTTTCTAGAAGCTCATTTGGGAGGGAAATCCCTACATGGGTCTTGGTGGGCTGGCACCCTATATGGGTCTTGGAGGGCTGGCACCCTCTTGGGCCTCTTGGCGGGTCTGGGCTGTGGCCCGTGACATGTGACCCGTGACACATGCATCTTGAGTGAGAATGAAGCATGCCTTAATTTTCACCTTGTTTTTGTAGCCTAAAGTTTTAGTATTTTAAATGGCAAGAAAGAGGTACAAACCATGAGATTTTAGATTCAAGTCTGCCTCAATGTGAATTTGTTTCAAT